GCGACAGCTTCCTTGCGGCTTTCACTGCCACGCATCATAACATGCCTCGCTCGCCAGTGGACTTGGCAGACAGACTAGATTAGGCAGACAAACCAATAAGATGCCTACAGCACGACCGCCACTGAGCCCGGTTTCTCGCCATATCCTGCAGCGTTAACAGCCATTGGTCTGCGGCGTCGCGCGGACCCCATCCAGGGAGTCTAACCCTGCCAATTGAAGCTAATCTACTTGTAAGCCCTTTCGTCTGACGGCTCCAGGTCAGTGCCTGGCCCCCACGTACTCTACGCCAGCTAGGATTGGGGGTAGTTAAATCAACCAACCTTACAATTAAGGCAATAATACCCTGGAAACTTTCCAGATGAATGAGTGCCTCAGTTTACAAAATCTTATTAGCCTCAATCTAATCAAATAATGCTTTACTGCAGATGACAGTATGACTGAGACTTGGTGACACACCTATTATATGGTTTATTAAATAACATTTAAGAAAACCGTCACTGAAAGAAATTGTTTGAAACTTCAGAATTACTTTCTACAGGCTTGATATTTCTATGAATTTGAAAGTTTGAAAAGATTTCATTGTGGTACATTTTTTAAGAAACTATTTTAAATGCTTACCTCCGTGAGATCTTACTACATTATTTAAACATTTTTCTATAAAGTTTTTATTTAATAAAACTGTAAATTTTATTATTAATTGATTTGTAAACACTACACAGACTTTCACTGTTTATGACCACTGCCATACAATTAAAATAATTTTTTTATCATACCCCAGTTATAAGCAAACCAAATTTCTTTTTAAATTGTTAATAAAAGTTTTCTGTAAGATATATAATAAGCTTTAACCTCATTTTATATTCATTTATGTTTTAACATTTATTTTAGGTGAGTTTCTTTGCCAATATGAGCAGTTGCGTAGGTTGGTTATGGCCTAATGCAAGCAAGGCCTTGGCTACAAAATTAACTTGATATGTAAATGTACTTCATTTCTTTTACAATCAGAATTAAACATCATAAATGATGAAGAAAGCTTTTCACAAACTTTAAAAGTATCATGATTGTAATGTACTGGAAGTTGTTCATTCTGTTCCATAGCAGCATGTCACCAAGTTTTTTCAATTTGTTCTGATCTCTTTGTGAATCTTTACTAAACTAAAGGATTTTTTGGCTTATACAGTTGAAAAAATAAGAATTAAGAGCTTTCATAACATGTTTAGATCACTTTTGAGGCTGAGATATATTGCACCATGACAATCAATGCGTTTGTTCAAGTTAGAAAGACAAGTTAGTGCGACTTTGTTCAAAACATTTATGACTTTTCTTCTAGGGAGCTAAAAGTGCCATATTATACTGAGAAAAAAATTCAGAAAATGCACAGATGCAACTGATTCTGTTAAGAGTAAGAAACAAAAATGATGTTTTTTTTGGCACAGTGAAAGATACAATCTTTATTAGGTATGTCAGTCAACTAGTTTCAATAACAGAGTTACTGTCACCAAATAGAGTGTCTATAGTGTTAGCTTAACTCTATTAAACTCCAACTGTTAATGGGTAAGTTTATTTTTAAAACAAGTTCAGGAGACAGTAATAGAAAACTGATCTGTATAAATAGAGACAATGGACCAATATATGTGTGTCCTCTAAGAATAATTGTTTCTTGTAAGTATCACCGTGTTTACTAATCTTCCTCTTCTTGTTTTATGACCTTGTTTTAAAAATGTACTCACTCCTTAATGGTTGACGTTTAATATAGGCCAACTCAACACTGTAATCACTAGCCCTGATGGTGGTAACTGTGTTACCAAAACTATTTGGCTGAAATATGTAATAAATATTTTATTGTTCATTGTGCCACAAAACATCCTTTTCATTTTTTATTGTTAATATAGTAGCACATTGTGCCTAAAAATAAATTACTGTTTTTGCTGGGACCATACTGAAATCAACACAAGACCTGAATTTCCAATTTATTTTTACGTTTAAAAATGTATATATATTTTCATGAAATAAGTTTCAACTCTAAAGTAATTTATTATTTCAGTTTGTGGAA